CCCACATTTTCTGAAGCTTCCACTCTGCAGAGGCACTTAAGAGGCGGAATTCCTTGTATAAAGTCATTTTCTGATTGTATACTAACTGTGGGAATAGTTTGTTTCTCACGCTTAAGCGCTTTGCCAGCGCTTGTACCATTATCTTTCACCCTAAGCAGTCGCAAAAATAGTTAAACACGCCTGGCGATAAAGCCATCTAGCGCATCTCTAGCGTAGTCTACTCGTAGTTAAACATCAGAAATAAGGGGAAAAACTGGAAATAAAAAATTCTATTCCAGCGTGAGAGGTTTTACTAAAGGATGAATCTCTTCTGTTTTTTAAACTTCACATCAATGGTTTGATTTACACCTTCCAAACACTTATCCCTGACACCTCTTAGTTTTGATAATTTAGGTTCATGCTGGGCATGGCGAGAACTCCCCGAAAATTATTTTCCACGGTTGCTCAATGAATTGAGCTGTCAGGAGGACGATTTCTGTTTATCGGGTAATTTTATCTCGATACCGTATTTCTGCTTTTGTTTACCTAAATGTGTTTCACATTGCTACATAAACCAATCTCTTTATTCTATGCTCCAAAGTTATTCAGGATGGGGCCAATGTGTCCAGCAGTTCCGGAATGTAGACGTCCTCCGCAGGGTTGGAGGACAGTGGCAATCAGCTGCACTGTCTGTAGCAACATGCTGTGACTGCAAGGTTCGGGCTGGTACAGAAGTTCATTCACTTGTTGTTGGAGAACGGACTCGTATTTTAGTCTCCTAAGGATACATACGGAATTTCATAATATTCTCAGTTTTTTGTTTGATTGTTGCACATTCATGCTGTAAAGGATGTCAGCTTTATGTAGATCCCTAAGCTCAGTTCGTTATTTGTTTATACTGCTATGGTAGAAAACCTAAAATCCACGTTATACATAAGACTGAAGCAACTGCAGAATTTCTGCCAGATCATTTTTTTGTGCCATCTCATTTTCACAATAATGAGAAGATGCCGTAGATCTGTAATTACTGTTGTTAAAGTTTCTCGAAGCATTGCGGTTACAATGCTGTGATAATAAATGTAATGAAAAGCGTCAACTGAGAGGAAACTTGAGTCGAGCTTTATGGGAAAAACACGCTACCTAACGAATATAATCCAAGTAGGGGCCGAGCATGAGGTTTGACTCGCGACTTCCGTTACTACACAAATCCCCTCCTTCCCCCCTTTCCTCCTTACCTCTATAGTCTCTGATCTGGAGTGGAACGATTTAAATTCGCCAAAGGTTTGGCAAGAATGCGTATCATCGACTTTTCAAGGGTTTGTTGCTGTGCCTTATTTTTGTCATACAGGAATGGTTTGCGTCGAGGTTACTAATGTCGTATAATTTTATCGAGAAGAACAAGCTGATTCTTCTGTTTTTTAGAGAGATGTGAGAGATGATAAGAAAACGTCTTACCTTCATAAATTTTTGAACATTGCAGGAACAGTTATTCAAGGGGTTGTATGTTATTTTGTGTATTATCTAAAATATCTCATGTTTATGGTTTCGTCTTTTGTTAATGCTGCATTAGTGAATGGTATGCAGTTGCGAGAGTGGAAAACAGGTGCAAAATGCCAGCTAAGTAGAAGATCACATTGAATTTCAGCATAAGCAGAATTAGCGAGTGATTGTGATCTTTGTTATCAAAATCTCATTTCAATGGGTTGATGGGTTCCATTACTCTTTGGGTCATGATTCTTCTACTACAATTCCGCGCCAGGCTGCTCGCCTTTAAAAAGGCACGCCGCCAGCAGGAGACACCCGTCGCATCATAGTCAGACAAATGAGCGAAAAGGGTTTCGAGTAAAAGCCAGGAAGCAGAAGCATTGCGTTCACGGGCCCGAAGGATGCGGATAGTGAGCGAGGGCCATCGGTTTACGAGGGAGAACGGTAAGCGAGTTAGCTCGCTAAAGGTTATTTTCCAAGAACTCAAAACTCTGACTAGCCACAATCAATGAGGAGGCCCTTAATGAGCGGTATCGTGATGTGGCAGCTTTTGTGAAGACCGATATGCTTTTGCAAGAAACGAAATGAAAAGGCGGGAGGTCCTGTGACATTTTAGGTGGTTATAAGCTCTTCTAAGGTGATACAAGTAACCGTAAAAGGTTGATGGTACGGCTGTCTTTGACAACAGTAACTGCCGTGAGCTAGAAATTGAAGAACTCATGAGCATTAGGACGACGCTGGAAAAAAAAGATTCTCTGGGTTGTGGCGATCTACGCACCACAAGTTAGATGCAAAGAGGAAGAAGTACCTCAAGGATGTGTCAGAGAAAGGCACATTGGAACGCAATTGTGCTGTTTCAGCTTGCGACCTGGCATTAACGAACGCTTATCATGTCAAAAAAAGAGCGCATCATAAAGTATTTGAGTGGGCAGGCACTGAAGACAGATG